CTTATCTCATGTGGAAGGAGATAATGATTTCCCATTTATTTATTTAATAATAATACGATCTACCATATGGATGTGATGTGAGTGTGGCAGGAGATAGGTCTTCTCCTATTGCTGAAAAGCCTATTTTTCCTTATCAAACAGCATATAATTGAAAATTGATATGAGACAAAAATAAGAAAGAAAAGTTTAATTTTGAGATATATGTTTGATTGTGAAAGAACAAACACCTTATCTAGGACAATGCCAGACTATAGTGGCACAGCTCTATCTCCTTCATTTTATATTTTCTCCCCACACCTAAAGAGTATAATCATTCATACGTATAAATATCCATTTTTTCTATCGAAGGGCATGACTTCATTGAATATAAATAGCTATCATAACTCTCCCTGAGTTATAACGCATTGGGAATCTCTAATAAAGTTTTAGTCTTTATCATTGTTACAAAAAATATCCCTAAATTAAAATACTTTACCCGCTAAGGGATACATCGTTGACTTCTACGTAAACTAACAGTTCAGTTTTCTTCTCAAATTACGATTAATTTGTGATTTGTTTGAAATTTTTCGACAAAAAGTTAATTTAAATAATTTAAACAAAGAAATGTGACACGTATGTGAATGGGTTGTCAGTTGTCACAAAGAAATAATTTTACCTAATTCTCTTTTTAACATGGATATATATAAGAATAAGAGTACCCAAAGTTTTCTCCAGGGGACCTATCTAGTCAGGCAGTCAGCGTCTCGCAACCCCGTACCCTCTGCAAGGGGTCAATAACAGTTAATTAATCAAATCCGTAAGAATTAGGTAAAATTAAATCTGATTAAAGAAAAATTAAATGAATTTGATTATTTTTAAGTGAGTGAAAATTTGTAAGAGGTATAAATTAAAAAGAGATTATTATCTTTTTTAAGTTATCTAAATATTTTTTTAGGTTTTTCACATGGTAAATACGCATACTTTATATTTTACAATTTATATGAATAAAATATTTCTCTTATAATATGAAATAAATTTATTTCTTATAACTTCGGTGTTGTTTCAAGATTTAAGAAAAAAAGTATATGATGTTTTAAAAATTATATTTTTTTCTTTGTAATGTTTTTTTTTTTTAAATATCTTGTTTTTAAACCACCGAAGATAAAGAGATAGAATTATCTACTTCAATTCAAAGGAGATAACTTTATTTATTTTTAATTTTTTGAATACATATAACTTTATCTTTTTATCTTGCATGAGAGGAGAAATACCAAACCCGATTTATATTTAATACTTAAATAACTTGTAAGACGTTAGCAAATCTTTACATCTAAAACACAAGCATACTATCCGAAACTCCCCTGAAAAAAGTCAAAAATATATTATCCAGAAAAGTAGACTATAAAACCATACATTAAACTGAATTTCAGCAACAAATAGATACATAACATGAAATAAACCTCAATTAGACTATAAGGCGTTTGATACAAAGTATTTTGTAGGATTCTCGATAAATTAAATTTTTCTAAATTTTTAATCTTTGGATATTATCGTAAATTGAATGTTTTCATCATATTTCTGAAAATTGATATTTTCGGATAAAAAAAATTTATCCTCTACCAAACGTCCCATAATAGCTTGTAGAGCCCATTTGGTCATGACATGACACATGGTATCTATCTATATGATTTTTTTAATTATTTTTTTGGTAGACTTTGCTTAAAGCCGGAACAAAACAAACAGAAAAAACTAACTAGAACTATGAACAAGAAGATCTCTCCCCACTGATGCAAGATCAGCCAGGTATAAAAGATGAATTCCTCACGGCAGTTCCTCAAAAAAATTTGATCCTCTTGATCTGTATGATCCTGAAGATAATTAGCCATCCAATCTGCAAATGTGTTTCCTTCTCTGTAAGTATGATGGAAAAGAACCTCCCAATCTCTATCAATCCATGTTCGTATACGAGATAGCAAACGTATCTCACGAACTGCTACACCTCCTTTGGTGAGCCCAGTAATTGCCACTAAGGAATCACTTTCAATAATAACTCTTCTATAACCTACATTCCATGCCTCCTTCAAACCATGCCAGATGCCCCAAAGTTCGGCTCTGAAGGCTGAGCACTTTCCCAGCCTAATAGCATAACCACTTAACCATTGACCCTGAGAATTTCTTAACACACCACCACAAGCAGCTAGGCCAGTATTTCCTATCGCTGCTCCGTCTGTATTAATCTTCACATAACCCTCCTCTGGAAATTGCCAACTAATGATTATATGGCTTAACCCGTTTCTATAATGCATTTGCTGAAATTCTCGATAAGCACCCTCAATATCCCTTACTAACCTTTTAATAATCTCGCCTTTCTTTTCACAAGATGGAGTCTCTTCACCCTGATTCACCATATTTCTCCAATACCAAATCTTCCAACAAGTTGCTAGGAAAATAGTAACCCATCTCACATGATTGTCCCACATAGAAATGTCACACACGTTACTCTTAATCCATTGATTCACTTTCTGGACAAAGAAACCACCAGAAAAACGAGTTGGCATGATAACCTCCCAAACAGTTTTTGCATTTGTACAATCCCTCAAAGCATGGATAATCGATTCAGGGACATCTTTACAACAAGGACATAAATTATCACCATTACTCCAATCAGAAATTTTATTTTTTGTTAATAATCGTTGCTGAATCAACTTCCAGCCAAAAATCTTCACCTTTTGTGGCCCTTTCCACTCTTATAAATACTTCCATACCTTCATATCTTCTTCCTCCACCATCTGTCTCTCAGTTAAACACTTATAGATTGCACCAACTGAAATTAAGTTTGCATAATCTAAACACCAAATCTTCCTATCAGGTCCATCAGCTTCATTGGGAGGAGGGATACTTCGAAATCATTCCACTAAATGAGCAGGCAGCCAAACATTTAATAATTCAAAGTTCCAATCGCCCGAATGAGTAACCACATCAGCAACTTTAACTTGATCTCTATTAACAGAAGCCACATCATTGATTAATTCTTCTAATGAGTTATCCTTTATAAGCCACTTATCTTTCCAGAACTTGATATCTAAACCATTGCCTAGTTCCCAGCTCAACTTACCCTCCAGTTTATGCCACATCCTACACATATTCCTCCAAAGGCTAGAATCTCCACTTCTGACTTCAAACAAGGAATCGCTTCTATTTCATGAATTGTACTTGGACTTTAGCACTTGAACCCAAAGATTGTTTGGTTCATAATACATCTTCCACATTTTTTTTTGCTATATAAGCATCATTCATTGCCTCCAAACTCTTCATGCCCAGACCCCCCATATAACTCAGGTGTGGTAATAATTTCCCAACTAATAGCACAATGTTTCCGCTGATTCATTTTATCACCCCAAATAAAATATATTTGCAACTTCTCAATTTTCTTACAAATCGACAGAGGTAACTTGCAACTTTGCATCTGGAAAGTTGGGATCGAAGCCAACACTGACTGAGCCAACGTGATTCTGCCAGCCTGAGAAAGACACTGTCGCTGCCAGTTGCTCAACCTGTCCTTCACTTTACTAACAATATCATCATACAAAGATTTGGTAACTCTCCCATGTTGTATCATGGCGCCAAGATACCTCCCCATATTCTTTACATGTTTAAAACCACTCACCTGCACAACCTTCTCGATGATATCATTTGGAGTATTCCTTGAGAAAAACACATTGGTCTTGTCAATTCTGAGCTTTTGACCATAAACTTCTTCAAACAGATTCAAGCATTTCATAAGTGTATGGATCTGATCTTCCTTGGCTTCCATAAAAACCATTAGATCATCAGCAAAAGCAAGATGAGATATTTATGGTCCCCCTCTACCAGCACGAATTGGTTTCCACAAACCACCTTCAGTAGCAGTTAAGATAATGTGGGTTAGCTTTTCCAGTGCCATGACAAATAAGGGTGTGCATGACAACCATTTTGTTCCCTGACACTATTTCTGAAAAGAAACAATTCTTTTCTATTTTTGTGCCTCAGAACAGTTTATGGGAGAAAAAAATGTGTTTGATAACATGTTCTATTTTTATTCTGAGAATGAAAATTGCGTTTGATAACACAACAAATAATATAATAAAAAATAATTCCAATTAAGCATAATTATTTTTTGGATCATCACTCTCTTTCCCATATGGTGGCGGTGGTGGTAGTGGTGGTACTGATGGCAGTGGCTGCGGCGGTAGTGGTGGTAATGGTAGCAATGGTGGTGGCGGTGGTGTTGGTGATGACATGGTGGTGGTGGTGACGGCAGTGGCTGCGGCGATGGTGGTGGTATTGACGGCAGTGGCTGCGGCAATGATGATGGTAATGGTGGTAGTGGTGGCGGTGGTAGTGACAGTGGTGATGGTGGTGGGGGTGGTAGTGGTGGCGGTGGTTGCGGCAATGATGGTGATAATGGTGGTGGTGGAGGTGATGACAGTGGTTGCGACGATGGTGGTGGTGGTTGGTGGTGGCGGTGGTGGTGGTGGTTGGTGATAGTGGCGTGGTGGCAATGGCGATGATGTGGTGATGAGCATGGTGGTGGTGGTGGTGATGGAAGTAGTTACGGCGATGGTAGTGGTGGTTGGTCGTGGTAGTGGTAGTGGCGGTGGTGGTGGCGGTGGCGATGACATCGTCGTGGTGGTGGTGGTGTTGGTGGCGGCGACATCATCATGGTGGTGGTGGTGGTTGTGATGACGATATTGGTGGTACAACGGTGGTGGCGACGATGGTGGCGGTGGTCATGTCAGGATGATGGTGGTGGTGATGATGATAGTGGTGAAGAGCGATTGTGAGAAATAAGTGTTTCTCATTTTGTGCCCGGGAATAAAAAAACAGAAATTTTTTAATTCTTTTTTCTGTTCCCCAGCACAAAAATTAAACCGGTTCATCCCGGGAACAAAAAAATAAACCAGTTTTACGAAACGAGTTTTCTATCCATTTTTGTTCCCGAGAACAGAAATTAAAAAAAAAAATTGATTCCGGGAAGGTTGTCATGCACACCCTAAATAAGGAGATAGAGGGTCCCTTTGACGCAAACCCGTTGATGGTGCAAAATCCACAGTTTTATCTCCATTCCAGAGAACATTAATACGAGATGTGGATAAACACTTCATGATTATATTGATGAAAGCCTTGGGGAACTGAATTTCCTCTATAATTCTCCTCATAAATTGCCAACTCACCCTATCATAGGCCATTACCAGATCAATTTTGAAAGCCATAAAGGCCTTCCTCCCTTTCATCTTATTCGTAGAGTGTATGAGCTCTTGAACAATAGTAATGTTATCTTGAATTTGCCTATGCGACACAAAACTAGCTTGAAAAGGGGAAATGATTTTCTCCAGAACCATTTTAATCCTATAAACAATGATCTTCGAAAACAACTTATAAATAACAGTACACAATGAAACCAGTCTACACTGACTAATATAGTCTGGTATCTTCTTCTTTGGTATTAAAACCAAAAGAGTATAATTGCAATCTTCAATCATTTCTGGATGCTGCCACATGTTTTTAATGACATTACAAACTTGCACTTTTACCTTTTTCCACTGTGTCTGGAAAAAAATATGAGGATAACCATAATCACCTGGAGCTTTATACGGTCCCATGGAAGAGAGATTTTGCCAGATATCATGATCACTCGGAGGAATCATCAACGCATGGATTTCATTCTGCTCTAGAATAGGCCACAGATTCTGAAATGAAATCCATCTACGATCCCTTACCTCCTCAGAAAACAAATCTTTATAGTAATTACAAACATGCACCTTCAACTCATTAGGATCTTCAATCCATATATTATCATTGTTACAAAGTCTACTGATCCTGTTACTAGACCTGCGCATAACTGTTTTCAGATGGTAAAATTTTGTATTCTTATCCCCATCAATAATCCAATTATGACGGGATTTCTGGAACCAAAGGAGTTCCTCTTGATCAAGGGTCAAGTTGAGATTATCATGAAGCTCTTCCTCTAACTTCTGTAATCTAAGACTATCCACACGTTCCCTTTTCAATTGGATATCTGCAATACTTTGAGTCAGATTTCTAATCCTATAAGAAATATTTCCAAAGACTTCCTTGTTCCATTTCTTTAGATGAGGTATAAAGTTAGCTAACATCAGTTTCACTTCCACATCAGAACTCCATTTCTCCTCCATTAAACCCCCAAAACCTGGATGATCCATCCATGGTGCAATGAATCTGAACGGCCTATCACTCCACTGATTCACACCCTTTGCCAAATCAAGAAGCAACGGATTGTGGTCTGAGAGGAACCTAGGTAGTGCTCTAACCTCTGCATCTTCAAAACTAATCCTCCATCTCATATTAGCACAAACTCTATTAAGTTTTTTGAACAAAAGATTCCATTTGCGACCCTGCCATGTTAATCTACCCTCCAAACCATCAATATCTTCAACATGGCAATTATCAAGAAATTTTTGGAATCTTTCACACTTTGCAAGATCCGCACTGGACACTCATTTCTTCTCTCTGCTATTCTTTATATCATTAAGTCACCAGCCAAAATCCATGGATCATTGATGGAATGACTCATTTGAATAATTTCTTCCCATAACGTATGTCTTCTAGTCTCTTGAGGGCTAGCATACAAAGTTGTACAAAGGAAGCTCGTGCTTTGATCAAGGCTCACCTTCATATGAACAAATTGGCTAGATTGACTAATAGCATGAACAGTGACTTTTTTGGAATCCCATAATACCCAAATACCTCCAGAGAAACCAATTGCTTCCTCAATAATTACCTTATCAAAATTAATCTTCCTCAATAACGTACTACAAATACTTCCTCTCGTTCTTGTTTCCGTAAGCACAACCAAATAAACTTTAAGTTTATCCACCAATTGTTTAAGGGATCGGCCTAAATTTCTCTTAGCCGCCCCTCTACAATTCCAAAAAATAAAGACATTAAAAAGAATTTGATATTGCAGGATGAGATTGCACCTGCAACATGAGATTCATCAACAATGCTGTTGTTTCATTCCTAGAAATACCTCCTCTGTCTTTATTTACTTCCATCATATTAGTAGCACCTGGGTCTGGAGGTTTAGGAGCTTTCTCTATAATTATTTTAGAACTTGTTTCTTGATAGACCTCTTGATCAATGGATCTCGAGACATTCAGATGCTTTTTTATTTGATTATTCGAATTTAACGCAAATTTGTCAACCTCCATAGCATTCTCCTCCATTGCTTGATTTCCTTTTCCAACCTCTTTCCCTACTTTGTAACCTGATACATCCTGGACCTTTTTATTCACTCTATCTTGATCTTTCAACTCGTATAACACCCCATCCTTACCTTCCATTACCAGCTTGAAATTAGAATCAGTCTCCACTATCTGCACTCTGTCCTTAGCTGCACATTTCCTGCTAACCCCCACCTGCTTTGATGGCACTTTGCTAACTTTGTCCGAAATCTCAACAATTTGCTCAACCTTATCTTCCTCATTGCTTTGTATGATATCCTTAGCATTATTTTTTCCTACCAACTGCCCCTCTTTCTGATTATTATTTTGTGCATTTCCCCCTCTCTCAATCTGAGGTCTTGACCTACGGGCTTTTGTAACCACCATCCAAGGACCAAAATTATTTGAACTATCATCTCCTTCACCTTTGTATGAGTCAGCTGGTATTCCTTCATCAATGGTCCCTGAACCATCCTTCACTAGATTAACGTTTTGAGACTGTTGGACAATAGGACAAGTTTCTGAATTATGACCATATTTTCCTCACCTAAAACATATTAGATGAAGACCATCATATTCAACCTGCTTATATCTCCCTTCGATATAGTTTTCACTTTTCAGTGGCTTGTTAAGATCCAACTCTACACTAATCCTTGCGAATTTTCCCCTAGCAAGGTTTGTAGTTGCTGAATCTAATCTCACGAATTTTCCGAGCCAATCTCCCATCGTTTTCATCAGAGAGGCATTCACGTACTCCAAAGGAAACCCTGGTAATCTCACCCACACATTAATCTTATTGATTGAAACATGTGTAGCCTGAAAATCCGGTCCCATAATCTAATAGCCAAATAATGGTCGAAGATACTCCATGGTCCAGCCAACAAAGCAAACTCCATATCTTTTTTCTTCTCAAACCTGACTAAGAAATAGTCATTCTCTATGTCCGTAACATAAATCATCCTTTCTCTTGCCCACATATTATCAAGTCTTTTCTTCATGTACAACACCGAAACTCTTTTCCCCAATAGCTTAACAATTAAAGTTTGTCTTCAAGGACCCCACGCCTTCTTTTTAAACTGATTTGATAGTTTAAAATTGATTATCCCATCAGCCCTAGTTTCCAACGTAACCTCTGGTTCGATATCCTGGTTTCCTTGTTCTTCCTCTCGATTTCTATCTTCTTGCATCTCATCTTCCACGACTTGATCTTTCTCCTCCTCTGATACCCACTCTCCATTATGTCTCATAGGAAATTCTTTGAAACTCCTATTACCGTCCATCCAGTCCTCCTCTCTTGGGACCATGGATTGATCATGCGAGAAGGCCTCATCACCTCTTTTAACTTTCTTCTGGCTACGATGTAGAATATCTTTTTCTTCTATGTCCAAACCACGAACAGCAGGCTTCTGCATGGCTAGGCACACACCCCGATGAAACCCTAGACCAAACCCTAGCAAAACAGTTTTCGGCTTTCCTCAAGAGTATGTACTAATATTTGCACGTGTGAGCGTATCTATATGATTAATTCTAAGGCGAAGAAATATATCTTGATTTAGCTTGGAGGAAAGTATATTGATTTAGCTTGGAGGAAAGGCTTCAAATCTGTCCAAGCTAAATCATAGAGGAGAAAGTGCGATGTGAGGCTGTGATATATGCTCACAAAAAAGAGATACATAATAAAAATCATATGGAATAAAATGCAATATTTTTTAATTTAAATTTTAAATAAAAAATTATAAAAAAATACTAGTTTTAACTAAAATAGTTATCCTTTAAAAGGACAAATATTTATCGTTTTCATTTATGTTTTGTTTAATTTCATAAGATCCGAAGAATGAATTTACATATATGGATGCGCGTACTAAGAAGCATCAAGTAATAAATACATTGTATGATAAAGGGAAAAAATTCACTCGTAAATCAATTGAAACTCCATTTATATATTCATTTCTCTATTTATGGAGTCCCTGGAAGCTTCTTTTAAAGCCTATATCAGTGGTGAGTCTTAATTTCCTTTTTAAAAAAATAATCTTAACTTATCTTATGTATATATTACTAACCATTGAAGAATCATATCGACTTTTTTTTTTTACATGAACTCAAATAAAAAAGAAACAACAACTAATCAAGAGGCAGCCATATATATATATGTGTGTGTGACACAAGCATCTCTGAGTAATTTGAATAGCAAATTGACAAAGGAGACATTGAGGAATATATGAGCTTGAGACGCCACGGGCTTTTATAGCAGCGTAAGTAAAAGCAATTAACATGCCTCGACATGAAGAATGCGTAATAGAACAATTCTTTATATGTTTTCCTTCAATATATAAGACTAGCTATAGACATATAGAATATTAACGATACATTATCGAAAAGCATATAAATTGAAAATTGATGGGTACAAAAAAAAGAAAGAAATGTTTGATTTTGAGATATATGTTTGGTTGTGAAAAACCATTTTCCCACTCCAGGATGTGGACTGTAGATTCTCCGTCGAGGATGCTGACCTCGTTATCCACTGCCATCCTAGCTAGTGTTGTTGTTGCCCGCGACGTGTAAAGTAGAGGCAATGAGGCATGTGCTCATGCACCTCAATACAAATATGAATTCATTTAATTGATAGCCAGCCCACTAATGCTCATGAGACAAGACAAAAGTGTCTCAAACAACAACTTCATATTTTGATTTTGAAACCATTTATAGGCTGGAAATCGCTAATAAAATTGGAAATATCCCACTCCCACAACAACTCATTTTACGGAATGTTTGTGAGAATTAAATCAACAAATTAACATGGAGAGAATGGTAGATTAAACATCAATTTTTATTTTTATTTTTAAATAAAATAGTGCTGTTTGTGAACGTCGAGGTCGAGGCATGCAAAAAGGACGAGTCTAGAGAGAATATTCTCCTCTACTCTACGGCACGAGATATACTCTACAGTACTACACTACATCAATAGAAACATAACACATTAGTTGACATATTTTTTAAAGATTTTTTTTCAATATTATATTTATTTATTCCATGAAATATATAATATATAATTTCCTTTTAAACAGAGTCCGTACCCCCATATTCACTACAATCGCGAAATATACAATAAGGAGAAGATTATATTTAAAAAAACTGTTTACAAATTACATTATGTCTGATCGGTACCCGATCAGATATAGTGTAATTTGTAAGTTTGTAAAAAAAAATAAAAAATTATCAATATAACCCTCCTCATGTTAATATCGAAGATGTTCTCTAGTGTACAATTTTTTACACTGAGCAAGTAAAAATCAAAGGAGTCATTTTCTGTCCTTATTTTTAAAATTCCTTTGACACAGTGCGAAAAAGTCCAATTAGCTGCCCTTTTCAGGGGTCGAACTAACAATGTGAAATTGTGATTCTCTGGCATTCTCATGAGCACCCCTGAAAACGTTATCACTTCCCGCGGAATGAGTAAACCTAGTCCACAATATTATTTACCAGAATACACTGGAAGAAACGCACCTTCTTAATTTAAAGTTATCACAATGGTCAATGGGTAATAAGAGAAATAATATCTAACAAATAGACGCCAAGGCTAGTTGGGAGTGGATCCTCTCACGTGCAAAAGTAGTCATATTATTTAATCACAACCACTCGTTGATGATGATGAGATAAGAGAGAGAAAAGTATATAATTTTTAAATGAGTGTTGTAATCAAATAACATGACCATTTTTTCACGCGATAGAAACTCAGGCTAGCTAGCCATTATCATCAACCAAGATATTCTGATCCATTCTTTTCAGAAGCATACAAAAGTTCCAACTGGAACGTTATCATACTACCCTTTCCCTCGCTTCCACTCAATTAGATTTCCAATATACACCTTACAATTTGCCTTTAAAAACATCACTTATAGCCTTCCCATTCAACATCAATCAAAGCATATAGCCATGGCTTCCAACAAACTCTCTGCCATCATTTTAGTTCTTTCTCTGCTTGCTTACTCAACATTCACTGAGGCTTGTGGCTCATGCAAACCCACACCTACCCCAAGTTCACCATCACCCACACCTAAGCCAACACCACCTACACCAAAGCCTTGTCCTCCTCCAGCACCAGCACAACAACACTGTCCCAAAGACACATTAAAGCTAGGGGTTTGTGCTGATCTATTAGGGCTTGTTAACGTTATTGTTGGAACTCCTCCTTCAAGCAAGTGTTGTGCATTGATCATGGGTTTGGCAGATTTGGAAGCCGCACTTTGCCTTTGCACTGCTATTAAGGCTAATGTTCTTGGAATCAATTTGAATATACCTGTCACGCTCAGTTTGATCCTTAGTGCTTGTGAAAAAACAGTTCCTCCAGGTTTCCAATGTGCCTAGCTAGGTTCATTCGAATTAGGTTATGTCTCATTTAATTTGTCGTAAGAGAAATGTTTAAATATGCACTAGAATCATTGGATTGATGATTCAGTGCCTGTCTAAGAATTTCTTTGGCAATAGTTGCTTTTCTGTTATTGTGTTTTTCATATATTAATGTTGTTCTTTTTCTTCGTTTTATGGAAATTATTGTCGTTTTGATGGCGAGTCTGTGTAAACATTTTGTTCTATCGATTTTCTAACTTGCGCTTCATCAAATAACTAATTAAGCAAGCTTATTTATCTTATTAGGTCTCCTTATTAGTACACAGTAACTTAAATTAGTGCACATTACCATTTATCATCTGAATGTTTTTGAAAGCTGCGTTATTACTTAATATAAAATATATTATGAATGCTTAATAATTAGTTATGACTTATGATTATAAAAAAAATACAATAATATTATTTTTATTAATATTTTATACTCAACTACCATTGAAGAAGAAATATTTACTATGATCCTGGCACACCAATTGATTCAGTGGTTCTAGTCAATCAAAATAAAATATTTTCTGACATGTAAATACGGAGAAAAGAGAAAACAATTTTTTTTGTCCAAATATCTCACTCCCAATAGAAGGAGCATCTATTTCTGGTGCAGAGAAGATGATTTCCATTGAAGAGAAAAAAAATATTTGAGAGTAAGGTGTGAATTGACGGTATTATGTTTCTTTAGCATTGACGTACGTTGGCTTGATTGGGAAAAAAAATTTAATATTAAAAAAATACCGAATTCGGTACCTCCTTTTCTTTAAATCACAAAATCTTCATATCATTTGAATCCTTGGCATTTTGGTGTATAAAATTTCCCTTTTGAATCCCGATTGCTTCCTAATTTGGGAAGCGATGTTGGTAGAACAAGTGGAGCAAACATGTCTTGTGACACTGTTGTGAAGATTATTGGTATATTCAAAATGAAACCTTTGTTTGGCTTTTCAGAAGAAATGAAAACCTACGTATGTGTGTTTGTTTTTTATGGAGGTTGTTGGATTGGAGATTGACCCATTGTAAAGTGTAAACAGAGCAAGAGCAAGACAGTGAGTCAATTGTTTGCGACCGCTGGACGTAAGCCGAAACGATAAAGGAAGTGTGGAATATGAGGCTGATGGTTAGAAGAAGCTTAGGATTTGATTGATTGTTATAGTTTATATGGAAATTTGAAGAGTTTGATTGATTGTTATAGTTTAATATGGAAATTTGAAGTAGCTCACTTTCCAAAGAAAGTATTATATTAATTTTTTTAAAAATTATAGATTGGGAAATATAAATTACAAAATTATAAACTCATATAAGTCATACACCTTTATTATATAATTTATAACTTTTTCTTAATTTATGGTTTAAAATTTAATGCACGACTCTATCTCTTCTTGGGAAGACAAATATAATTTTGGGTTAAGATCAGGTAAATTTCCTAATATAAGTCACATGAAGAAAAGCACTCTCAAACACCATAAATACAATTTGGTGCGTTAATAATTTTTATATCGGTACAAAAATAAATTTTTTTACATCAATCTCTTTGTGTTCAATGGCCCAGATAATTATAAAAAAATAGAATTATTGAATATAATTAAGATCAACAATTAAAATTTAAGTATAATCTATATATATATAAAGGAAACCCAAACTTTGGAAAGTTTTCCTATGTGGCACTCTCTCCTTAATTCTCAAATTTCTGTTCACACTACATGACAACTGCAAACTTTCCATCTTTAGTAAATTGGAAATTGAAATTGGAAATTGAAAAGGGATTTTTCTTTTAAAAATCAAAAATTAGATTTTTAAATTCAAAAATATTAAACAGATGTGGTGGCAGGCAAGGCATTTAATGCCCACTGCTGTTCACATTGGAATTGGTCCTCTGTTTTAATGACTCAGTTGTTATTACATTGGAATTGGAATTGTTCATCTGATTAATGATTAAAAATTCGAATTCAAATTGTGAAATGGTTTGAAAATTTGAATTGGAAAGTTTCGATGGAGGGAAAACATTTGGAGAGTCCATTTTATTTAACTCTGACTGCATGCGTCTATAAAAGGGAGTGTTTTGCATTTTGTTTACGTTTTTGCCTCCGATTTTCAGTTGTTTATGTTCGTCATTTTTTCGTCTTTTCCTTCTGCTGCTTCTTTTCGTCTTTTCGTTATCCCTAAAAGAAATGGTTTCAAGATATGATTTTATAAAGGATCTTAATCCTACAAAGGAGGACTGGAGGATTAAGGTGAAGGTGGTTCGATCTTGGCAGGTTCCTAACTTTCAACGTAAAGGTTTAGACGACAATGTTGAGATGGTTCTGTTGGATGAACGAGTATATAATACAGATCTTTTTTCTTTTCTTTTCGTGGCCGTTGTTGTGATTTTCGTTTTGTGTTGTTGATTCTTTGTCTTTACCTTTTTTTGTAGGGTGGAAGGATCCATGCCACTGTGAAAGGAACTCTTCAGGTCCGGAAAAAATCACGGATGGAGAAGTGTATTTTATTAAAATTTTCGGAGTTGGATTCAGTAGCGATAATTTTAGGCCAACCCGTCATGAGTTTCGTCTGTCTTTCAACTTGAGGACTGATGTTAGATCAATTGTTCAACCTAATTTTCCTGCGAATGTTTTTGATTTTGTTGATTACGATCTCATTGAGAAAGAATCGTCTGATTCTCCGTATTTAGTAGGTAGTGTTGTGTAATGTTTAGGGACCACCGTTGTTGATTAACAGTCTATTTTGCGATTTAAATTATTATATTAGTGTTGTCTTCTTTGCTGTGTAGACGTCATTGGTTTACTGTCGGGAGTTGGGGAAGTGTGTGAGCATCTGGTTTCCGGCAGGAAGACAAAGATGATCGTGTTAGAACTCGACAATCTCAGGTATACAGAATGTTAACTTTTTTTACAGTGTCTTAACCTAATTGTTATATCTGTAACCTTCGTCTGTGCGCTTCTAATGTATAGGGGTCACAAGCTGGAATGCACTTTGTGGGAGCATTATGTGGATGAGGTACAAATTTTTTTGGCAAGCAATGACACTCCTCATAAGGTGATGATTGTTCAACTAGGGAGGATAAAGGGTTTTAGGGGTATGTGTTGTGTTAAATTTTATTTTCTACGTGTTTCTGATTTAATTTTAGCTTTTGTATCGTATTATAGATTGATGGGTGTTCGTTGTTTCTGTTTTGTATAGGTAAAATCGGAGTGACGAATACAAAATATACGACCAAGATTATCATGGATTCAAATTTGCCTGAGATTGTGGAGTTCAAAAAATGGTTTGCATATTATCCTTTTTATTGCTGCTGTCATTTTTTTTTATTCAGCCGCATGTAATCTTATGTTGCTGTTAATGTTTGCATTGTAGTCTATCGTCTGATGGTGTGGAAAGTAGTTTGAGGTTGACTCAATTGTCTACTCAGTCGTCATATTCGTACGAAAGTGATTTTCTTAAAGAGACCGATAGAAAGTCAATCAGTGATATCAAGTTGTGTAGTGAGGTGAATGTTAAATTTTCATGTGTAACACGTATATAAATTTTCATTTCTGCTGTCGTTTGTTGTTGTTGATATCTACCAGTTTCTGTTATGCACCTTTTGTGGGCATGTTTGAGGCCCTTTGTTTGTTTCGTTTTTTTTTTGGTATGTTGTTCATTAATTTGTTGCATTCCCGTATTGCAGGTAACCACATGCATCACTTATGGGACTATAAAATCAATTGAGAGCAGATACAACTGGTGGTACTGGTCATGCAATAGGTGTCCATTTTCCGTTTGCGAAGATTTTGAAAAATGGTACTGTAAAAACTGCCATAAACATTGGGAAGATTACATACCTAGGTAAAATAGCTATGCTAAATTTTTAAACTGTGTTAGATCTGATTAGTAATTGTCTGTTTATGATAGATGTTTTTTTTTTAAATTTTTTATAGATTTAGTGTTCAAGTCAGAGTTGTGGATAACACGGATTCTGCTTCTTTTTTTGCTGTTTGATCAAGACTGTGTTACTTTGTTGGGAATGAGTGTTGCTGAGTTGCGCGAGTTGCATTTCAAAAGGGTTTGTTTTCTTATTTGGATCGATTAGTTATTAAGTAATGTATGACCATTGTCTGTATGTAACTTGAAAATTGGTTTTCTTTTTAAATTCCTTTTCCCAGGGTGCTGATGCAGAAGAGTATCCCGAGCAACTAAATGTTCTGAATGAAAAATCCATGTTGTTTAAGATTAATGTGAAGGAAAAAAATTTGAACGCGTACAGTGAGCCAAAATATCAAGTATCTAAGATTTGTATCAGCGAGGAGATAATCACAGCATTCCTGAATGATTTGGTTGACCCCAATGTACGATGTCCAACTGTTCATATGAGGTCTCCACAATTTGAATTCATTTATATGACTGTTTTTGGTTGCTGTTGATTACAGGATGAAGCAAATTTCGATAATGCAACCAAAAATGAAATGTTATCATTAGACCCAGAAAAGGATTATTTCAATTTATATACGTGTTACATAATGAGTTTACAGTTGTGAATTTTCGTAATATGTGCTTAACCGAATATTTTTTCTTTTTTATTTGATCGACTAGGATGTTGAAAGCCAGACATGTGACAATGCTGATGTTGGTGACATTTCTCTAACTTTATTGACACCTGTGATGAATTCTCATGATCCTCATGTTGAGGAATTTAAGTCTTCGGTTGTGCGAACAACGAAAAAAATTAAGCTTGAAAAAGAGTTATGTAAATTCTAAATTTTGAATATATTTTAATTCATCATAAGAAAAAAAAAATTACGTTACCTTTTTTTTCATGCAACCAATAATTGTAAATTGAAAGTGATTTTCATTTCATGATCCGATACAGATTACTGATTTCTGTAATTTGTTTTTTGGTTTTTGAAATAGGTTCGATGCTGAAGCGTATACAAACTCTCAGTGAGCGAAGCAACCATGACCGAATGTCTGATTATTTAGTGTTTCAGAAAAAAAACTTATCCAAACATTTCTTTTGTTTTATAATTCCCTGTTGTACTGTGTAATGTGTTTAATATGTGGTGACCATTCCCTATCTATTGTTGATGGATTTTATAGAACACTGATTCTGCAGTCCTTATTTTAAACTTGGGGTTTGGGTAATCAGAGATTATTCAAAGACAATGTTATGAATTTTTGAGGTGGCATATAATGGATTTATGATATTGTCCACTTGGAATTGTAAAATAGTCATTCATTTTATACGTGTGCTTTCTTTGGAAATCAATTTCTGCATATTACCGAGATATGAGCACTTGCAATTTAAGTTTTATTGACTGTTGGTTTGCCACTATAATTTACATCTGGGGGTTTATATAAAGAGGCCACATAGTAGGTATGTTTCATCTTAGTCCATGGATTCTTTGCCTTCTGCAAAACGTGCAAAGATGGTTACTGATGGTCATGTGTCTCTGAAAGATCTTCCAAGAGATATCCTGATCGAAATCTTTGCTATGGTGGACTCCCAGAGGATATTTGATATCTATAGCCTTGAGTTAACCTGTAAATAATTTCTTGGAATTGTAAGGGATCCTTTGATGAAGAAACGTTCTTTGGAAATGTTTTACACGAACTTTTATCGTAATCTTTGAGTTGTGTTTTTGCTGTTTGAATTATGTGTTGGAATAAGTAGTCTTTAATTTGTTTGAGAGAAATGTTATCACCCATTGTAACCTGTTATGAAGTAAAGTGTGGTGAAGTGAAATGTGCTGTGTTCGTTGATTACCCGTAGAAGGAAGAAAAAATAATGTATGAATTGTCTTTGACATTGTCATTTTTCACATTATATAGCAGAATCCCAATTTCTGCAATGCAATGTCTGTTGTTTATGTTGTTATGAGTTGCACTCGAAAATATAACATACATTAATGAATTCAAGATACTTTTTAATTCTCATTTTAATTGTGCATGCTACCGAGATGTTAACAGCTCAAATAATTTTAAATATGACTGTTGGTTTCATAACATCTTATCTCTTTCATCTCTTTGTTCTGCATAAGTCTATATAAATAACTGAGTTGTGGTATTTTTGAACGAACACAACTCTCTCTCTTCATCTTATCTCCATCAAGCTGTAATCAAATGGATGCTTCCACTTCTGCAAAACGTCTAAGGAGTGCTGCTGATAGTCCTATGTCCCTAAAGGGTCTTCCAAAAGATGTTTTGATTGAAATATTTGCTATGGTTGACTCCCAAACGATGTTTGATATCTACAATCTCGAGTTAACCTGTAAAGAATTTCGCGAAATTGCAAGGGATCCTTTGATGAAGAAGCGATGTTTGGAAATGTTTTGCGAAAATATGTATCTTTGGCTCTGAGTGTGCTGCTTTATGTTTTCACTGTTGGGGTGTTGTAATGGAATAACTACTGTTGAAACCATTTGAAGATTTTTATCCCCTGTTGTTAAGTGTCTGAGATTTGTAATGTTTGCATTCTCCTTAATATTTGTATTTGCATGGACCTTTTGGTTTATTCTTTTATAAAAAAAGGTTGAGTGTATGAATTCGTATGGACGTTTTGGTTTTCCACAGTATATAACATTGTTTCAAAGGATTTAGATTCAACATATGAAATTAGTAATATTCCACTGCGAATTAATACATATTTCAATGTTTCATTGGTGAGTGACTAAATAACAAAGCAATAAATCTGATTATGTGTAGTGTTCCACTACGAATTATTTTTAAAAAAATTATTAAAAAACATTTTATTACATTTTTAAAATTTACTTTCGTTGTTTAATATTTAATTTCTTCGATTACAATTGTTTCAGTATAATTATGTCCAAATCGCCACTGCGAATTAATTTTTTTTGAATTATTAAAAACTTTTTAATACATTTATTATTTGTTTGTTTTTATGTTTAGGATTTAATAAAATGAACTTACGTCGTTTAATATTTAATTTCTTCATTTATACAATTTTTTCCCTAAATTATTGTAAAACATTTTATTATAATTATCATTTTTGGTCGTTATTTTTATATGAAATAAAAATTACTCACTAGATTTTTTTCCAGTCTAATAATGGTTTAAGTTTTCTCAAAGTACTTTACACTGTGTCTCATAATGGTGTCCCACCATACATGACGTTCAGTATTCCAATGGTGTGTGCGCATGCAGATGTGTTGTCAGTATTAATCATGACGCGTTGTGTAATAAATACATAATAAATACATATATTTCTTCATATCCAAATTTGATTCATTGTTTTTTGTCTGTTGTTGTGTAGAAAATCTATCTCCCTTCACTGACACCCAAGGCAACGGGTAATTTTTATTTGGCTCCGATTTCTTCTATGTTACGTTATCCAAGTTAAATTCAAATCCTTTTTAGTGCGATATGTTGTTGTTTCTGATTGTTGCTTTTTATACCTTGTAGACTTTCTGACGTCATCAATGTACAACATCAGTTGAGCTGCAACAGACGACAGCTCCGTAATGTTACTAACGGTAAATTATTGCTTTTGAAGAAGAAGTATAACAAGAAATGTATTCATATATTTTTTTGCCATATAATTTCTGACGTATGCTACACTGATTGTACATAATAATCGATGTGCACGTGTATTATTCTTATGATATATATTGCTTTTCAAGAGGAAGTATAACGGAAAAAAAAAGCAGATTACTGATAACTTCTCTTATACGCGTGTGTTTGATTTTTTTTCTATTACATGAACTTATGTTCAAGAAAGTTTACATGTTGTTTTTATTTTTATTTTTTTCTCTTTTTATTGCGAACATGGGGACATGAATATACAGCTGTAGTTTTGCTAAAAAACATAATAAATACATATATTTCTTCATATCCAAATTTGATTCATTGTTTTTTGTCTGTTGTTGTGTAGAAAATCTATCTCCCTTCACTGACACCCAAGGCAGCGGGTAATTTTTATTTGGCTCCGATTTCTTCTATGTTACGTTATCCAAGTTAAATTCAAATCCTTTTTAGTGCAATATGTTGTTGTTTCTGATTGTTGCTTTTTATACCATGTAGACTTTCTGACGTCATCAATGTACAACATCAGTTGAGCTGCAACAGACGACAGCTCCGTAATGTTACTAACGGTAAATTATTGCTTTTGAAGAAGAAGTATAACAAGAAATGTATTCATATATTTTTTTGCCATATAATTTCTGACGTATGCTACACTGATTGTACATAATAATCGATGTGCACGTGTATTATTCTTATGATATATATTGCTTTTCAAGAGGAAGTATAACGGGAAAAAAAAAGCAGATTACTGATAACTTCTCTTATACGCGTGTGTTTGATTTTTTTTCTATTACATGAACTTATGTTCAAGAAAGTTTACATGTTGTTTTTATTTTTATTTTTTTCTCTTTTTATTGTGAACATGGGGACATGAATATACAGCTGTAGTTTTGCTAAAAAACATAATAAATACATATATTTCTTCATATCCAAATTTGATTCATTGTTTTTGGTCTGTTGTTGTGTAGAAAATCTATCTCCCTTCACTGACACCCAAGGCAGCGGATAATTTTTATTTGGCTCCGATTTCTTCTATGTTACGTTATCCAAGTTAAATTCAAATCCTTTTTAGTGAGATATGTTGTTGTTTCTGATTGTTGCTTTTTATACCATGTAGACTTTCTGATGTCATCAATGTACAACATCAGTTGAGCTGCAACAGACGACAGCTCCGTAATGCTACTAACGGTAAATTATTGCTTTTGAAGAAGAAGTATAACAAGAAATGTATTCATATATTTTTTCGCCATATAATTCCTGACGTATGCTACACTGATTGTACATAATAATCGATGTGCACGTGTATTATTCTTATGATATATATTGCTTTTCAAGAGGAAGTATAACGGAAAAAAAAACCTGTGTTAAATACCTTCTCTTATACGCGTGTGTTTGATTTTTTTTTCTATTACATGAACTTATGTTCAAGAAAATTTACATGTAGTTTTTATTTTTATTTTTTTCTCTTTTCATTGCGAACATGGGGACATGAATATACAGCTGTAGTTTTGAAAAAAATATAATAAATACATATATTTCTTCATATCCAAATTTGATTCATTGTTTTCTGTCTGTTGTTGTGTAGAAAATCTATCTCCGTTCACTGACACCCAAGGCAGCGGGTAATTTTTATTTGGCTCCGATTTCTTCTATGTTATGTTATCCAAGTTAAATTCAAATCCTTTTTAGTGCATTATATTGTTGTTTCTGATTGTTGCTTTTTATACCATGTATACTTTCTGACATCATCAATGTACAGCATCAGTTGAGCTGCAACAGACGACAGCTCTGTAATGTTACTAATGGTAAATTATTGCTTTTGAAGAAGAAGTATAACAAGAAATGTATTCATTTCGCCATATAATTTCTGACGTATGCTACACTGGTTGTACATAATAATCGATGTGCACGTGTATTATTCTTATGATATATATTGATTTTCAAGAGGAAGTATAACGGAAAAAAAAAACCTGTGTTAAATACCTTCTCTTATACGTGTGTGTTTGATTTTTTTTTCTATTACATGAACTTATGTTCAAGAAAATTTACATGTAGTTTTTATTTTTATTTTTTTCTCTTTTCATTGCGAACATAGGGACATGAATATACAGCTGTAGTTTTGAAAAAAATATAATAAATACATATATTTCTTCATATCCAAATTTGATTCATTGTTTTTTGTCTGTTGTTGTGTAGAAAATCTATCTCCGTTCACTGACACCCAAGGCAGCGGGTAATTTTTATTTGGCTCCGATTTCTTCTATGTTACGTTATCCAAGTTAAATTCAAATCCTTTTTAGTGCGATATGTTGTTGTTTCTGATTGTTGCTTTTTATACCATGTAGACTTTCTGACGTCATCAATGTACAACATCAGTTGAGCTGCAACAGACGACAGCTCCGTAAT